AATGCCATCCCCGGAGGAGATCCTGACACTGCTGTGTGCGGCCGGCCTCTACGACCTGGCCATCTCGCTCATCCACGCCTTCTCGCTGTCCCCCGAGCCGCTACTGTCCAGCCTGGCGCTACGCTGCGTCACCTTCTCCCTGTCCTCCAGTGTCTACAGCAAACTGACAGGTCGGTCGCTGGGTCTATTTCACCGCGTACACAGGTGGTGGCGGTTTCATGGATATGATGATGATGTTTGTGTGTGTATGTGTGTGTGCCTGCAAGTGTGTGTGTGTGTGTGTGCATGCAAGTATGTGTGTATGTATGTGCAATGGACATGCAAGTGTGTGTGTATGTATGTGCAATGGGCATGCAAGTGTGTGTGTGTGTGTATGTGCAATGGGCATGCAAGTGTGTGTGTGTGTATGTATGTGCAATGGGCATGCAAGTGTGTGTGTGTGTGTGTGTGTGTGTGTGCAATGGGCATGCAAGTGTGTGTGTGTGTGTATGTGCAATGGGCATGCAAGTGTGTGTGTGTGTATGTATGTGCAATGGGCATGCAAGTGTGTGTTATGTTCTACATATACACCTGTCAGGTGATTTTAAAATGTGATATATGTTTTTGAATGTAATGCACACTGAGCTTTTTTTTTTTTTAATTTTATTTTAATTAATATTAGTTTTTTTTATTATTGTTATTATTATTATAATTAATATTAGTTTTTTTTATTATTATTATTATTATTATTAGTCACAATTCTACCCCCACGAAGTGCTACAGCTTTTTTATTCCCCCCGGACAGTGAAAGACCCTGACCCCAGTATGGGCTCCTGGCGCTGGCTCCACGAGAACGTGATTCCTCCGTGCGGTGCCAGCGAGAGCAGTCCGCCCGACCAGGCCTGGAGACTGCTGCATCGCTACCTGCAGGTGAATGTCGTGTTGCTTGCTTGCTCGCTCGCTCACTCACTCACTCACTCAATCACTCAATCACTCACTCACTCGCTCGCTCTCTCACTCTTTCACTCACTCGCTCAATCGCTAGCTCACTCACTCACTCACTCACTCACTCACTCTATCACTCACTTACTTATGGCCCGGTTACACGTAACGATAAATTGTACAAAAACTGGATGTTCTAGAGATCAGGTGTAACCACAAAATTGTACAAACTTTGGACAATGATTTGAAGACTCGGTCGAGAAATCAAGCGCTGTTTGATATTTTTCGTGCGATCACGTTCAGATTTGGGGGAGATGCGCTGTGACGCAAAATCACTTTGAAATTTGCTGCCGCGCAGGATTAAACTTAGGGCACAAAATTTTTTAAATAATCCTATGAGTGCCGCAGATGTAGGTGTGCTACAAGAGAGGAGAGTAACGTGCAGTGAAAAGGAGGAGGAGAGATTAGGACGATAGATGTTTGATAGGACAGAAGGAGCAAACCACACCAGGGCACCTGCCAAGCTCCCACTCACTCACTTTCTGCGTGCACCTTTAAGTTTTTTGCCTCATTCCTCTCTCATTCTCTCCGTATACATTCAGGTTTTGCAGCAAAATTCGTAAAGAATTGTGGTTTTTAAAAAAAAGATTTTAATTTCTATTCAAGATAGATGTGTATTGATTTCGCTAATTGCAAGGCAAATGAATAAGCTTTGAGGTAATTGGAACATCTCGATATGCCCAAAACTTGACGAATGCCCGATTCCACCGCATTACGACACGCATATTTTATCTTATCTCATCTTATATTATCTCAATTAATCTCGTCCTAACTTATATCTCTTCTTATTTTATCTCAGTTTACCTTATCTCATGTCTTATATCATCTTTGTATTTCCTATTTTATCTCATCTTATCGTACTTATCTTTTTTCCTTTTATTTCACCTTCCCCCCCGTCTCACCTCATCTCACCCCCAGCTCCTGGAAGACGGTAGCAGCAGCTGTCACAAGTGTGTGGCCCACACCTTGCTGTCACAGAGCTTCCACCTGCCCACTTGGCTGGTGCACTCCTTTAAGGTAGGTCCTGTCTAGTGTACATGTACTGTTGTTGTACACTCTTTTGAGGTAGGTCCACAGTGCTGGTCTGGTCCAGTCAACATGTACTGTTGATGTGCACTCCCTAGTCTAGTCTACGTGTACTTTTGACATCTGTCGTCCTTATCTCCCCTTCTTCTTTTTTATGTTTGTTACTCTCCTACAACACCTCTAATCTTCTGGCGCTCATATGACCTTATGCTGTTGCGAGCGCCGTAAAATCTCTACTAAAACCCCCAAAAAATAACGATTGGTCCACCAGTGCTGGTATACTCTAAGGTATCCAATAGGCGTCCTTACACACACACACACACACACACTCACACCCCCCCCCCCCCCCACCCCCAGCCAATTAATTTTCAGGTTTTTTTGCGCACACCCCCAACCCGCTCCTTATTCCATACACACACACACACACACACACACACACACACACCCCCGTTTATTATTTTCCAGCTTGCCACGACCGACGATCATGTGAAACATTATATCTAGAATCGAGATATCTGATGAAACTTCTTTTTTTTTCTTTTTTTTCTTTTTTTTGGGGGGGTAAATGGCAAATTACCCTAGGTATCAGTGCCAGATCTGGGTTGGCTACCTTAATTTTCTGTGCATTTTAAAAACTTTTGTACATTGGTTTATATTTCTTTATGAAACTGGTTTGTTCGTAATTGGGAAAAGTTGTCACAGTAACTTGCTAAAAGCTCTAAAATGTCATGATCTCTTGTTCTTTTATTCACTGAAGGAGAAATAAAACAGATTTGTTGCTACTAGTACAGAGGTATGAAGGCCGGATGAACGGGTGATGTGTCCATACCATTGCTGTTTGTCAGATAGAACTTTGCTCCTTCTTTCCTTTCAAACATGTATCGTCCTTATCTCCCCTCCTTCTTTTTTGTGTTTGTTCCTCGCTTGTAACACCTCTAATCTTCGGCACCTCTATGACCTTATTGTGTTACAAGTGCCGTTAAACACTTACTAAAACTAAAAGCTTTTTTTTAATGCAGTTCTTTGAATGTCTTGATAACAATGACGAATTAATCTTTCGATTTTCAAAGAGGAACTGGTTTCTGACCTCATGGTTTTAGTAACTCAAAACTGGAAAAAATGTCAGATAGAACTTTGTAATTCTTACAGTGCTTCCGTACATCCATAATTTTTACAGAAATCCGTACTTTCTGCCAGTTCCGTACTTGTTCCTCCGTCATGATCAACTCCCTCCGTTAAAAACTGCAACAGCGCAGGATTGCCGAAATTCTGTAGTAATGGATCTGAACTTGCTTTCGTATCGTCTTGTATAAGATGGATGTATAGATAGTTTGTTGGATAGATAGATGGATGGATGGATGTATTGATGGATAGATAGATGTATGGATGGATGGATTGATGGATAGATAGATAGATAGGTATTGCGACAATACGTACAATACTTAATCAGTCAATTTTACCTCATAGGTCTAGATCATATGCCTATATAATAATACATGGCACATCGAATGTCTTGTACTTTAAGTTATGTTATTAAAGATTTAGTGACATCTGGCCACTAACAAGCTAGTTACGGATATTTACAGCAATTCTCAAGGCAATAAGTTAATGTTATAGAAACCTGCCAGATTGCGCATTTCCTGCAGTCGGCCATTCATTATTCCGTTATGTCACGTGCATTCATTGTGGGTTGCTCGGCAGACTCCCGGCAGAAATTTCCTTACTTTTCAGCTTCAGCTGTTGGAAGCACTGTTCTTAGGTCGTGACTCGTGTGCTCTATCTCCACAGACTCTGGATGTGGCCTCTCTCCTGCGAGTGTACCTGGCCTTTGACCTCATCTCACAGGCCGTCTCCCTGGTCGTGGAGTATCTGGAGGCCGTCACCGACTCTCTCGTGGGCATCGACGTACCCGCCTTTGCCTTGAAGGTTCGCAACATAGCTGGGGGGGGTTTTGTGGTTTATTTTACGAAAGATGTCTTACGACGTACAAAATGAGTTTTACTTAAGTAATTGTGACTCGAAGGTTTGCAAGATAGCTTGTTTTGTACTCTTTAGGATTTGTTTTGCTGGGTTAAAAAAATATTTTTTTGAAATTTGTCTTATGATATACAAAATGAGTCTACTTAGTTAATAATAATTGTGACTCGAAAGATCACAAGATAGCTTGTTTTGTTTGGAGTTGGTTTTTTTTCGAAAGATGCCTTAGTGGGTGGTTGGCGGGTGCAGTGGTGTGGTTTGCTCTTTCTTTCCTATGAAAAATCTGTCGTCTCTATCTCCCCTCCTTTTTTGTGTTTGTTGTTACTCTCTTGTAACACCTCTAATCTTTGGCACTTAATACTTATATGACCTTATTGTATTGCAAGTGCCGTAAAACTCCTACTAAAACTAAAAGATGTCTTACGGTGTACAAAGGAAGTTTTACTTAATTAATTGTGACTCGATGGTTTGCAATATAGCTTGTTTTCTTTTTGATTTTTGATTTTTTTTTTCGAAAGATGTTTCTTATGCAGTAGCGAGCGCCATAAAACCTCTACTAAAACAAAAAGATGTCTTACGACTTACAAAATGAGTTATATTTAATTAATTTTGACTTGAAAGTTTGTAATATGGCTTGTTTTGTTGGGTTTGTTTTTTTAAAGATGTCTTGCGACGTAAAAAATGAGTTTTGCGGAAATTATTGTGACTCGAAGGTTTGCAATATCACTTGTTTTGTTTTGTTGGGTTTTTTCTAAAGATGTCTCGTATGCCGTTGCAAGCGCTGTAAAACCTCTACTAAAGCAAAAAGATGTCTTACGACATACAAAAGGAGTTTTAATTGAGTAATTGTCATTTGAAAGTTTGCAATATCTTGTTATGTTTTTTGGGGGGGTTTTTTGAAGATGTCTTATGACATACAAAGTGAGTTTTACAAAATAATTGTGACTTGAAGGTTCGCAAAATTGCTTTTTTTGTTTTTCTTTGTTTTTAATGTTTTGGGTTTCCTAAACTTATTTGCAAACATATACCTGTGCGTAAAATGATACTTTTTGGGTCTGTTTTAGTTTTTAAATTTTTATCTTACATCATTTTATGTGAGGGCGATTGGTGGGTGCTCCGGTGTAGTTTGCTCCTTCTTTCCTATCAAATATCTATTGTCCTGATCTCTCCTCATTCTTTTTTGTGTTTGTTACTCTCTTGTAAGACCTCTAATCTTCGGCACTTATATGACCTTATTTTGTTGCAAGTGCCATAAAACTCTTACTAAAACTAAAAACTCTGTGTGTCTTGCTTCTTCCATGCACTATATGACCGTTGTGTGTTGATGTGATTCTCTTTACGCAAAAAAACAAAAAAAACATGTATTATGATGTTTGATACAAGTTTCTAGCTTTCGTGGGATGTGTTATATATTTTATGACTGTATTTCTGACATTGCCTCGTGTCAGTTTAGCAAAGCAAAAGTAATAATTTGCCATCGAGCGACTATGGAGTTCAGAAATAATTCACCGCACAAAGAGTTTAAAACCACCGAAACTAACAACAAAAAACAACTCGTATTTTTTAAATTAAAACACAACTGAACTTTCCAGGGGTTGAGCTCTCCTGCGCCATTGAAAGTGTGGCTGCCGTACACGTGTATCGACCAACTGTTGGCTGTGCTGGGCGAGGAAGAGAACCCAACGTACAGTAAGGTGAGTGCTGGGGAAGGGAGGGGTGGAGGGGGGGTCAGGGGTCATCTTTACTACGTGAGCGGTTGGCGGGTGCTCTGGTTTGGTTTGCTCCTTCTTTCCTATCAAACATCTATCGTCCTTATCTCTCCTTCTTCTTTTTTATGTTTGTTGCTCTTGTAACACCTCTGATCTTCTGGCGCTCATATGACCTTATGCAGTTGCGAACGTGGTAAAACTTCTACTAAAATAAAGATTTACTACAGTAGAACATGACTATAGCAGCACCCGCTACAGCGGGTTGGCGAGTGCTCTGGTGTGGTTTGCTCCTTCTTTCCTATAAAAAATTTATTGTCTCTATCGCTCCTTCTTTTTTGTGTTTGTTACTCTTTTGTAACTCCTCTAATCTTCGGCACTTATATGACCTTATTGTGTTGCAAGTGCGGTAAAACTCTAACTAAAACTAAAAAACAGCGGGACCATCCCTACAGCGGGACCTTACCGGAATCCCCCCCTTTTTTTTTGGTCTATGTAAAGTCTATTACCTGTGCTCGGGTATAACGGGGCAAGGAAGGGCTTCAGCTTGGATACAGCGGGAGAGATCGAGCGAGCTTTAGCTGGGGGGGAAAAAAGGGGTTTGGGGGGGCTGTAGGCCTGTAGGGGGCTCTAAACAGGCAGTCTGCGGTTGCGGTGTTGTGATTGGCCAGTCCAGTGATGAGTGAGGTGGGGCAAGTGGCAGAGAGAGATGGTGCGGAGAAACGCGTTACATGGGCCACTCCGAAAGTGATGTGCCATAGCCTTAGGCCTAGGCTAGGCCAAAAAGACAGTAAAAGAAGAGGAGAGCGTGTAGTGTGTGATTTTTCAGTAATTCCCCTTTACATTCCTTTAGCAGAAACTTGCCTACAGCGGGGTTTTCCTTCTGGAACTAAAAGTCCCGCTATTGCCATGTTCTATTGTATAACGATAATGAATTTGAGGAACCTCCTTGAAAACTCCTTGAATTTCGCTGGATCGGACGTGAACAAAATTTTTGTCTGAAAATCGAAACTACGATTCCTTTCTGAAAAAGTGTAGGCCTGTCGGAAATAGGCTTTCGGCTAGAATTTCTTGACCAGTTCTCCTTGAATTTTAAAGATTTCTCCTTGAAATCTAGAATTTAAATGGAAGTTAATGGCAGGAACCCTGAAAGCAAAATGACAGAACATGACTAGAGATCATAGAAAGAGGTGAGAGGAGACGGTTTTATAGTAGAAAATTTGTCCGTCGTCAGGTTTGAAACCCAGGACCTAGTGAATGAGAGGCAAACCTCATAGGTATCTCTTTCTAAACCACGAGAGAGAGAGAGAGAGAGCAGGACTTCAAAATGTTTCATATGCGTGGCGATGGTTGCTCGCACTGTTTCGTTTGTGATGTGTTCCGTAATGGCAGAGATAAGAGGTGTTCGCCCCGGGGCGGTGCCACTGACTGAAGTGTCTTTAGGCCTTTCCCAAAAGGGGGGACATTTCTCGTTCAAGCACAGTAGAATTGTTAACGGGCTGATTCATGTCACGCTCATAACTGTGCCTGATCTACAACAGGGAAGTGCTGCTTTTTCTTTCCTAATCCTTACTATTGCCATTTTCTTTTACTTCTTTTGTATGTTTGTCACACTCTTGTGACCTGCTATTTCCGAGGTGCCTTGATAGTCGAAGCAGACTTTGTGCTGTTGAAGCTAGAGAGGTGAGCAGTCTCATTCCCTGTAAAGACTTCTCTGTTGACACCCACCCCTTGGCGCTCATATGACCTTATGCAGTTGCGAGTGCCGTAAAACCCTCTACTATAAAAAAAGATGTTAAAGTTAAAGTGGTTGTCAGTTAGAATAGCATTTGAATGATGGGATTAATGAATGCCTTTTTTTTTCTTTTGATCCCTCTTTTATTTCAGATGTATCAGACACTGAAACAAAAGTTGCAGACGTATCAAGAGAAGTCGTACGAAATGCACCAGGAATTGAGAGCAGCTGCGTACTGAGAAACGCCGAGATGAAATCTGAAAGAATGTTGGAATGTTGTTGGTTGGTTGTTTGTTTGTTTTCAGGTTCAACATTTTGGTTTCTCGCAGGCCTCTGTGGCTCTGAAGGGGTCAGATAGAACAAAGGATTTAAGTAAGTCTCCCCGGGGCTGTTCTGAGAAAAATGTTGAGAACAGTTTGGCTTAACCCTGTCACACAGAATTCCCAGGAATACTCCAAACTTCAACTCTGCGGGATTCCCGGTACAGCGGTAATTGGGAGGTCGTGTCATGTTTTTTAACTGTTTACCACGCGAGTAGTGCATGAAAACCTATCCCAGTATTGGCATTAGCTCAAAAGTAGGCCTCTTGTAGATATCTGTATTTCTACCAAGTTTCCTTTGTTTGATTCTCGTATTAACCACTTTCTGCACACTTTTGATCAGGAGGCCAGGTATTGAGGGAAGTTAGGTTCAGGGCGTAAGGTTTGACAGGGTTAAGCATGACATACTGTCATGATTGAGTAATTTGTAATTATGCCATAATAACTCTGATTAACTCTTTATCTCCGAAGGGGGTGAACCCACTACGCCGGGGCCATTTTTTGGTGCTATATCTAAAAATGACAAAAACTTCATTAAATGGGTCATAAAATCGAAACTAGCAAACATATTTTGATAGTTCTTCATCTTATGAATGAACTTCAGGTATAAGAGACCTGTTTTCGCAGTAAGTAATTTGATGTTGAAGTTGTCGTAAAGGAATGTGCCCGAGCCGCTGTCAGCGACTCACAGGCACAGTGGTTCCAACCGCGAGCCGCTGGGGGCAGCTTGCCGGAGATATAGAGTTAAACACCAGGTGAAGTTTTTACAGTTCATAAGTATGAAATAATAAAAGGCATGTTATACTTAAAGAATATGGCATCGATAAAAAAAAATCTACAAATTAGACCCTAGTGTTAATTTTTGGCAAATATCTCCATATTTTGTGGATTGCGAGAAGTAACTCATTTTGTCAGCATGCCGCACAAATGATGTTGTGGTTTCTGAGGGATTTGTGTCTGTCATTTACTCTTCTGTTGTTGCTGTCGCAGTGTACGCAGACGCTCCGTTAGCTCGGTTGGTATCGCGCTGGACTGTGGTGCGAGGATGGGTTCAAAATGTTGGATGTAGACCTATTGAGTAGAGATGTGTGGAAGACGGCCGTATGAATGGATCTACAGTTGTACGTTGTATATAATATATGAATACTGCCAGCCATACCTATGTTCACACAGATTTTGTTTTGTGTAGTTTTTGTTGTTGTTTTTTCTTTATCGTGGAATTTGTTTTGTTTTTTGTTTTGTTATGTTTGTTTGTTTTTTATGTGTTTTTTTCATCAAGTTCAAACTTCATCATAAAATTAATAAAAATGCAAAAGGAAAATGGAACGGGAAGGAAATGGGGAAGGGTGGGTGGGGAGTGATGGGTTAAAAGTTTTGGATGTAGCAAGTGGAAGATGGTCTGATGAATGGATATAGTGGTACGTTGTATATATATATGTATGTATGATACCAGCCGTATGTACGTATGTTCACACAGATTGTGTTTTGTGTTGGGGGGGGGGGGGGGGTGTTTTGGTCATTAAAATGGATATTTTGTATTTGTTCATCTTGCTTTGAGTTCGTTTTATTGTCTGTCAGAATGCGAGAGGATGTTCCCTGATTGTCTGTGATGGTGGTTGACGGGTGCTCTCGTGTGGTTTGCTTCTTCTTTCCTATCAAACGTCTATTGTCTTTATCTTCCCTCCTTTTTTTGTGTTTCTTACTCTCTTGTAACACCTCTAATCTTCTGGCGCTCATATGACCTTATGCAGTTGCAAGCGCCGTAAAACCTCTACTAAAACTAAATTTATTTTTTGCTTTATTAATCGTTGTTTTCGCGCCCTCATCAACACAATAGGTCTTGTAGGGGCAGAGCAGAGATGTACACTATAGGCACTATGGGTATAAAGGGAGATAACTCTATGGGGCAGAGTTCCACCCTGCCTGTGTTAAGGACAACCCAGGCTGTGGTAGAGAAGACTTCACCTCAGCAAAAAGACTGACAGTGAAAATAAAATAATAATAATGATAATAATTGCATTTATATGACGCATATCCATGTTCAAGAGCATGCTATATGCGCTTTACAACTATTATTACCCTGGCAGACCCTCTGAGAACATTCAGGAACATTCTCGGCTTCCGCGGAAGCATACAGTGCAAGCTGCAGATTTCACGCGCTCAAACTGACAAGATCGTTCACTGTCTATAGCCGGGTGCCCATTCCCACCTGGGTGAAGTGAGGAAAATTTGTGCAAAGTGCCTTTCCCAAGGACACAATGTCAGGTCCCTGACGGGATTTGAACCCACGACCTTACGGTTGCGAGTCCGAGAGCCTAACCACTAGGCCACCAATGCCACGAAATAGAAGCAACAGAAATGTGCTTTTTAAGGAGACGGCTGAGAATATTGTGGAAGGAAAAGAAATAAAATGAGGTGGTGCTTAATGAAGCCCACTGTTAAAAACAATCAGGAAACGACAAATGTAGTTTTGGGGACACCTGAATTGAATAGATACATGTATAGGGGTCATGAACATCTAGCTCTCACTGGCAAAATTGAGGGAAAGCGAGGCAGGGGCAGGCCCAGAGCAACCTACTTAGTGAAGAACCTATACAAATGGGTAACGGAGAAAGATCAGGGAAACGTAGCTTTTTTAAGAGCATCTGAGCAAAGGAATGAATGAAAGGAGAACCATGATCACCGATATCTGCCACAGATTCTCCTCACGGGAATGGAACTCGGGTCTTCTGTGTGTGACAGTGAGGTGCCTAACTGAACACCATACAGCTAAAAAGGTTTGCTCCGAGGAGTAGTCAGACGTGTCTCAAACCAGCTCCTCTGCTCCTCATGGAAACAATTAGCAGGAAGACCCTGGGGTGGACGCTGGAAAGGAGAGATGAGCAGCTATGGACATGTGCCGCCTGCTATAATTCTAGCTCTGGATCCAAATCCAAGTACAATGTAATACCATACAGCTATGTATAATGTAGATGGTTCTTAAGTTTTATCCTTTTTGTTTTGTTTTTGTGGTACATGTAAGTGTTTTACAGCGCTTGCAACTGCATAAGGTCATATGAGCGCACGATTGTATCTTTTGAGGGGGGTTGGAGATATGTTTATATAGAGGGAGAGGCAGGAAGAAAGGTGGAAAGAGGGAGACGGAGAGAGAGAGAAGAGTAGAGAGAGCTGTCCTCGTGGTTTTCTACACCCCGCATAATTTAGCAAAATTTGATCATTTTTTGCATAATTTCTGATTATTTTCCTTTATTATTCTTTGTAAAAATTAACAGAATCGCATAATTTCACATTTTTGGGCCCAGTTTGCATCCCGTGGGGATTTCTGCGACCTCGGGTGGTTAGTATTTAAAAATTCTGCCCACCCGGAGCGGGTCTCCTAGATCTAGTCTTAGTGTTATACATTTATACGGTGTGCTCACTACGGCTGGATCTTGCTTGTTTGCAGGTTCAGGCGATCGAGTCGGCCGATCCCATCCATAGTGGGCACCACATATTAGTCTGTCCCCGAAGAATTATGCAAATTTAGAAGGCCAAATTATGCCCCCAAAAAGCACAATTATGCAAGTTACCGTAAAACTAATACCATTCGCGACATGTTTTGCACTTTTTCAATAAGAATTTTTATGTTTTATGTACAGACAAATTGAAAACAGAACAAATCAGTATCAATAATTTGTTGTGTATTTGGAAAGAAAACAAAACACATCAGTCAGAAAAAAAAACAACAACCGAAAAATATAATCTCTGTCACTCTCAGCTGTAGATATAGAGATCTATGGAGGAAAGAAAAATGTTTTTAAAAAAGGACATATGTACCTCTGATGCTGGCACATCATTAAAACCAGAGACACCGACCTGTCAAACATGAAACATCAGCAAATTTGGATGGATTGAAAAACTGAACATGCTCAAGGAACAAAATCCCTAACCCAAAACCATTAACGATCTTCTAGGAAGGGAAATAACCAGCTTATCACTTAAATGAGACTTATTACATTGATTACTTCCCTTTAGTCACATGGCGAGGCGTTAAGTAATTATTTTGTGAAAAAAGGGGTAAAAAACGCGGGGAATAAAAAATTATGCAAATTTTACAGAATTATGCGAAAAAACACGGCTGCACAATCGCATAATCCGACGGGGGCAGATTAGTAGGTAGCGTAAACACGTCCTTGCAGCCTTCCGAGCGACATGAAGCTATTGAGAACAACTAGCACACCGCTGTGATTGGCCCAAAATAGATCATAGATTAGATGGCGTTTTCCCGCCATCTATTTTTGTCGTCTTCCCAGGTTTCCCTCGTGAGTTGACTAGATTGTTGTAGATCTCCTAGATCTGTCACCCTTTATTATTTAATTATCTTTCATCGGAATGTTGGTGACAAAGTTACTAACAATAGAAATGCAGCGTCGTGATGTTATTAAAGAAAAGGTCACATGTATGACATGGCCAGTAATATAATAGCTTAAATAACGCGAACCCCAACCAAACCTTATGTAGGCCAATCATAATAGCCAAAATAACCAAACTCTTGTAAAGCATGTAGAAATCTCCACGGGCCAGAACACGGAACATAATACACAGAAATCCCGCGGGCCAGAACACGGAACATAAAACACAGAAATCCCGCGGGCCAGAACACGGAACATAATACACAGAAATCCCGCGGGCCAGAACACGGAACATAAAACACAGAAATCCCCGCGGGCCAGAACACGGAACATAAAACACAGAAATCCCCGCGGGCCAGAACACGGAACATAATACACAGAAATCTCCACGGGCCAGAAGCCGCAGGCTAGGCGGGGGTAATCGACCGAATTCGTTCGCCCGGATCATGCGCAGAAATCCCCATGGGCCAGTAGCGTCAGGCTAGCCACCCGGGATCGGAGGACAAGCCACGGCCTAGAAAGAATCAGGGTCGTGAGAGGGAAGGATAGAGAGGTTGGGAGATAATGAGACATAGAGGTACAGGGAGAGGAAGACAGACAGATAGAGAGAGAGATACAGAGAGAGAGAGAGAGATATATATATACAGAGAGAGAGAGAGAGAGAGAGATACAGAGAGAGAGAGAGAGAGAGAGAGAGAGAGAGAGAGAGAGAGAGAACCGAGCAGTAAGGTATGGGTGTGTCATGAAGTACATAATAATCTGTCCCCGTAGGACTATGCGATTGTGCGGCCGCGTATGTTCGTGTAATTCTGCAACATTTGCATAATTTTGGATTCCCCGCATTTTTTCACTGTTTTTTCCTTTTTTATTCACTAAAACATTAATTAACGCCTCGCCATGTGACTGAAGGGAAATAATCACCGTAATAAGTGTCATTTAAGTGAAAGTTTGGTTATTTCCCTTGTTAGAAGATCTTGGTTGTGGGTTGGGATTTTGTTCCTTGAACATGTTCAATTTTTCAATCCATCAAAAGTTGTTGTTCTCATTTCTGCTGATGTTTCATGTTTGCCAGGAGTCCCTGGTTTTAGTAATGTGCCCGCATCAGAGGTCCAGATGTCCTTTTTTTTTTTTTTTACTTTTTTCTTTCCCCTATAGATCTAGATCTACAGCTGAAAATTACAGAGATTATATTATTTTTTAGTGTTTTTTTTTTGGGGGGGGGGGGGGGGGGAGGGTTACGGATCTGTATTGTTTTCTTTCCAAATACACAACATATTACTGAATCTGATAGGATTCTGTTTTAAATTTTTCTGCACATAAAACATGAAAATCATGAGAATTCGTGTTGAAAAAGTGCAAAACATGTCGTGAATGGTGTTACGGTAACTTGCGTAGTTTTTGCATAATTTGGCATTTTTTGTGTGCATAATTTGGCCATCTAAA